TTGGATTAATTATGTTTTATGGCTTCCATTTTATTTCCACTGTGGCTTATAACGTATGCCTCTTTTAAAAAATTGTAGTGGTTATCCTAGTTTTTAAAACATATATTTTAAATTAATCTAAGTATACCTTAAAATGATATAATATTGCTTTAAGTATAGTATAAGGACCTCACAATAGTATACTGCACATCTTTCCATCTCATCTATTGTATAGTAGTTCCTTCTACCCTTTCATCTGAAGAACCTCCCTTAACTACTTTTTTTTTTTTTTTTTGGTAGTGCTGCTCTGAGGGCAATGAATTCTCTCAGTTTCTTTTTGCCTAAGAAAGTCATAATTATCTCTCCTTTTTTATTTTGAGCTAAAATTCACATAACACAAAATCAAACATTAGCCATTTTAAAGTGTATGAGTCAGTGGCATTTAGTGATTTCACAATGTTGTACAAGCGTCACCTCTGTGTAGTTCCAAGACATTTTCATCACCCCAAGTGCAAACCCATTCCCACAGAGCAGTCAGTCCCCACTTCCCTCCCCACAGACCCTGCTGTCTGTCTCGATGGAGTTGCCTATTCTGGGTGTTTCATGTAAATGGCGGCATACAAAATATGACATTTCACTGAACACATTGTTCTCAAGATTCATCCACATTGTGCAGGTTTCAGCAGGTACTTCGTTTCTTTTTGTGGCTGAATAATCTTCCATTGTATGGAAATACCACATTTTGTTTATCCATTCATCCACTTTTGGCTGTTGTGAATAGTGCTGCATTGAACATTTACATGCAAGTATTTGTTTGAGTTCCTGTTTTCTGTTCTTTTGGTTATACCTAGAAGTAGAATTTCTGAGTCATATGGTAGTCTGTGTTTAAATTTTTGAAGACCTGTCAAACTGATTGCCATAGCAGCTGCATCATTTTACATTTCCACTAGCAATGTACAAGGATTCCAATTTTTTTTTACATCCTCACCAACACTTGTTCAGTTTTTTTCTGTTTTTTTTTGTTGTTGTTATTGTTGTTGTTGTTGTTGTTTGTTTGTTTTTAGATACAGGGTCTGGCACTATAGCCCAGTCTGGAGTGTGGTGGCATGATCATAGATCACTGCAACCTTGAACTTCTGGGCTCAAGCAATCCTCTTGCCTCAGCCTTCCCATAGCTGGGACTACAGGTATGCACCACCATGCCCAGCTAATTTTTTTTTTTTTTTGGTAGAGATAAGTCTCACTATGTTGTTTAGGCTGGTCTTAAACTCCTGGCCTCAAGTGGGCCTCCCACATCAGGCCTCCCACCTGGCCTCCAAAGGGCAGGGACTGCAGGCATGAGCCACTGTGCTTGGCCACCAGCACATGTTATTTTCTGATTTTTTAAATCATGGCCAACCTAGTAGATGTGAAGTTGTGTCTCATTGTGGTTTTGATTTGCACTTCCCTAATGACTAATGGTGTTGAGTATTTTTTCATGTGCTTCTTGGCAAGTTGTATATCTTCTCTGGAGAAATATCTATTCAAACTTTTTTGCTCATTTTTAAATTGTTTGTCTTTTTGTTGTTAAGTTGTATATTTATTCTGGATACATAGCCCTTATCAGATATATGATTTGCAAGTGTTTTCTTCCATTCTGTGTGTTGTCTTTTCATTCTTTTGACAGTATCTTGAGGCTCAAAAATGTTTAATTTTGATGAAGTCCAATTTACCCGTTTTTCTTTGGTTGTTTATGCTTTCGGTGACATAGCCAAGAAATCATTCCCAAGTCCAAGGTCATGAATATTGCTTCTAGGTTTTCTTCTAAGAGTTTAACAGTTTTAGCTTTTATATTTAGGTCTTTGATTCATTTTGAGTTAATTTTTGTATATGGTGTAAAATAAGAGTCCAACTTTCTTCTTCTGCATGTGGAAGAATGCAGTTCTCTTAACACTATTTGTTGAAAAGTCCAGTCATTCCCCGTTGAATAGTCTTGTCACCCTAGTTGAGTATCACCTGTCCATAGATGTGAGGGTTTACTTCTTGACGCTCCACTTTATTCCACTGATCCATATATCTATCCTTACGCCAGTTCACACTGTTTCAGTTTCTGTAAGTCTGCAGTAAGCTTTGACATTGAGAAGTGTGTTCTTCTTTCTCAAGACTGTTTTGGCTATTTAGTGTCCCACAGAATTCCATATGAATTTGAGAATCAGCTTTTCCATTTCTGCAAAAAACAAATGAACAAACAAACAAACAAAAGCTATTGGGATTTTGATAGAGACTACACTGAATCTACAGATCACTTTGAGGAGTACTGCCATCTGAACAACATTGAATCTTCCAATCCATGAAAATAAGATGTCTTTTCATTGATTAAGGTCTTTCTTTCAGCAGTGTTTTGTGGTTTTCGATGTAAAAGTCTTGCCCTTCCTTGGTTAAATTTATTCCCGAGTATTTTATTATTTTTGATGCTATTGCAAATAAAATTGTTCTCTTGATTTCCTTATTAGATTATTGCTAGTGTATAGAAATAGAGTTGAGTTTTATGTGTTAATCTTCTATCCTGAAGCTTTATTGAATTCGTTTATTTGCTGTAATAGTTGGTTTTTGTGGCTCTTTTAGGATTTTTCTTTATAGGATGACGTCCTCTGTGAATCGAGATAGTTGTACTTCTTCCTTTTTAATTTGGATGACTTTTATTTCTTTCTCTCACCGATTGCTTTGGCTAGGACTTTCAGTACTATACTAAACAGAAGTGGCAAGAGCAGACATCATTGTCCTTTTCCTGATCTAAAGGGGAAGCTTTCAGTCTTTTACCATGAAGTTAGCCGTGTTTTTTCATGTGTCCTTTATTGTGTTGAGAATGTTCCCTTTTATTCCTAGTCTGTTGGTGTTTTTTTAATCATGCAAATATGCTGGATTTTGTCAAAGGCTTTTTCTGCATCAACTGAGATGATCATGTGAGACTTCTCTTCATTCTGTTATATTAATGTGATATATTATGTTGATTTTCATGTGTTGAACCACCCTCTGCATTTCTGAGATAAAAATCCTATTTAGTCATGGTGTATAATCCTTTTAATATGCTGTTGGATTTGGTTTGCTAGAATGTTGCTGAGGATTTTTGTGTCTATATCCATGCATCTATATTGGTCTGTAGTTTTCGTTTCTTGCAATGCATTTGTCTAGCTTTGGCATCAGGAAAATGCTGGCCTCATAGAATGAGTTGGGAAGTGTGCCCTCATCTTCCTACTTTTTGGAAGAGTTTGAGAAGGATTAGTTTTAATTCTTCTTTACATGGTTGGTGAATTCACTAGCGAAGCCATCTGGTCTTGGGCTTTTTCTTTGTTGGGAGGTTTTTGATCACTGATTAAATCTCTTTACTTGGTGCAGGTCTATTCAGGTTTTCTATTTCTTCTTGAGTCTGTTTTGGTTGGTATTCATGGATACTAAAGGTTCAAAACACTTTTCTGAAAAAGAACGCATACACGCATACACACACACACACACACACACACACACCACACACCCCTGAGTACATAGGAAGAACGATCATTTTCCTGGATCAATGTTATATTGGAATTTTTTAGTTTCAAGAAGTTGCTTTACAACCATGTTATTTAGAGATAAGAAAGAAAATACTAAGAAAATCAACTAAAAGAGGTAAAAGCAATTGTCTCCAGGAAAGGAAGAACCAAAGGAACACCATTTAAAAAATAATTATGGCAGAACAATTAGACTGTTTATAAAAATGAATAAATAACTTAATTTATCCATGAAAGACAGTTCTATAACCAGACTGCCTGGATCCAAATCCCACCCTCACCATTTGGTAGCTGTGTGACCATGGGCAAGTTCAAGCTCCGTTTTCTCATCTACAAAATGAGAATGATGGCAGTACATCCACCACATAAACTTCTGCAGGAACCGAAGGAGACAATGAACGGGAAGGGCTTGGCTAGTGAGGGCCCTGTAAATGGTCTTGCCATTATTATCAGGCTCTCTCAGACTAGCCTGCATACAGGAAAAATCAAACTCAGTTTCTCCTACAGTCTCACAGCACAAGAGACTTCTGACACCAAGCAATCAAGCAGTCCTCCGGCTCGTGCAGCAAACACCAGCTGGGTGGCCTCCAGTTCAATCCTAACACTGTCTACCTGGAGATAGCATCAGACCCCACAGGTTGAGGGCTCAGTCCCGAAAGACTGCCCCCCACTTCTGGTGCCAACTGAAGCCCCAGTTGTTTCTCCTGTGCTTCTGATGCACCAGCCAGAAATCAGGGTTCCCTGCCCCCCTCCTCGGGTTTCATTAATTTGCTAGACCGACTGGCAGAAGTCAGGGAAATGCTTCACTTACTTTTATTGCTTTATTATAAAGGATATTACAGAAGATGCAGATGAAGAGATATGTGGAAAGGGATGGGGGCTTCCGTGCCCTCCCGGGGTGCACCACCCTCTAGGAACCTCCACGTGCTCAGCTACCCGGAAGCTCTTCCAATCTTGTCCTTTTGGGTTTTCATGGAGGCTTCATTACATAGGCATGATTGATTAATTCATTGGCCACTGATGATGAGCTTAATCTTCAGCCCTGTCCCCCTCCCGGGAGGTTAGCAAGGTAAAGCTGGAAGCCCTAATCCTCTAACCCTACCCGGGTCTTTCTGGTTACCGGCTCCCCTCTTGAAGCTAACTAGGGGATACCAGCTACCAGTCAACTCATTAGCATAGAAGAAGACATTTATTACTTTAGAGATTCCAAGGATTTTAGGAATTGTAAGCTAGCAAACATATATTTCACAGTATCACATAACCTAACTTCTCTTCGGGCTCAGCCAGAGTAGCCTGGCCAGTCTGGAGACCCCCATTTGTGCTACCGCCTGCCTGCCTGCTCTTGAGCATGTCTCTCCTCCCAGGGCCCCTTGGAAGTGGCTTCAGAAGGCCCCCAAACTTAGCCAGCTCCCTCCAGGCTCAGGCTGGCCCTGCCCCACACTCAGACCCCTCCCTCTGGGGGCCAAGGCTTTGTTTTCTTCTAAAGACCCAAGATTTCCAAACGCTGTGGTTGCCTTGCCTAGCTAAAAGGGGAAGGAGAGGATCAGCCCAAGGAGGAGGAGGAGGAAAACAAGACAAACAGCCAGTGCAGCAGAGAGGAGCGTGTATCCAGTGTCCCGATCCCCGCGGGGCGAGTAGCTGGAAGCTGGGTGCCCTGGCCAAGCTCTGGCCCTGCACCAACCTGTCACCTGCCGGTGAATGCCATGGATCCAGAGGTCCTGCTGCTCCTGCTGGTGGCCACAGCTTGGCATGGTAAGAACAGATTGGGGGATGGGGGGACTTTGGTGGAGGTGTGACAGAGGGGACCCCTGTGAAGGACTCTGTGAGCCCCTGCCCCTCACAAGGTGTCCCCACTCTGTGCTCCCATCTCCCCAGCACTGGACTGCAGGTTTGGAGAGGCCATGGAGGGAAAAGACAGGGTGGATGGGGTGGAACTAGCCTGGCCAGGCTAGGGATCTGTCCCAGACTCTCCGTGTGTCCTGAAAAAGCCCCGGTACTCTCAGGGCTCCAGGGTCCACCTCTACTCCACAGCAGGTGCTGCAGGCAGTGACGGACTAGACTAGGGCAACACGTGTCCCCTGTCCTGTGCACTCGGACTACCTGGGGACCTTGCTACAATTCAGATTTCGACTCAGAGGTTTCAGTTGTGACCTGAGACCTCCTAGGAGATGTGAGACGCCGGTGCTGCTGGTCCAGACCTTACGCGGTAGGGAGGCCCTAGAGAGCCCTGATGGCTCTGCCAGCTCTGACAGACCATGACAAGATGATTCTACGTAGGACCTGAGTCTGAAAAGCCTGAAGGGGCAGTGGGCCTCGGTCCATCCTTGGGATGCTTGCGTAAGGGGTCAGAGGGAGAGACCAGAAGTCGGCCTTTCTGGTCAGGAGCTCAGGAGAGGGGAATTGGGGAGGAGAGAGCTATAAGGCCAGAGGGAGGCCTGAGGGGAAGCCAGGGAGGGTCCCCCCAGCCAGAGCCATCCCAGACACAGGCTGTCAGGTCTCAGGAGGCCCCCAGGAAGCAGCAGCTGCTGCAGAAATTCCACCTAGGAGGGTGCCAGGCCAGAGGTGAGGGGCTGGTGTGCTTGGCTTGTTGGCCCAACAAACACATTTTATGTTCCGTTGCCTGCTTATTCAGAGGGCCCTTGGGGGCAGATGGGCAGGAGGACCCTGGGAGTTGGCATATCTGCTCCGTAGGGAGGAAGTGGTTCACTGAAAGTCTTTTTCTGGTCTGGCCAATCTGGTCTGGCTTGAGTGTCTTGTCTTTTTTACGGAGATACAACTTACCCAGGGTAGAAAGCACAGAGTCCTAGTGTACAGTTCAGCGCACACACTTGCATACGCACCATCCCAATTAAGACAGAGACTATTCCCCTCACCCTAGAAAGTTCCATGGGTTTGATTTCACTACCTTGTCCTGTCCTCACACCCAGAGCTGCATTTTGTGTGTGTGTGTGTGTGTGTGTGTGTGTGTGTGTGTGTGTGCTCGTGTGTTGGGGAGGGTTGTGTGGTGTTCAGCCCGAGGGAAAAGAAGAGATGGAGGAGTGGCAACCTGAGTTTTCAGCCCGACAGACCAGAGGCGACTGGGTGAGGGGCCACCGCGAGGGGCTCGAGGATGGCGTTGGGGCGCCATAGAGTCAGGGAGAGGCTCACTTCTCCCTGTTGTTGCAGGGAGGCCCTGGGCTGAGAAGGGGCTGTGCCCAGGCCTCAGTGTGCAGTGTGTGTGTGTGTGTGTGTGTGTGTGTGTGTGTGTGTGTGTTAGGGGAGAAGACCAGAGATTGGGGCACATCCGGGAGCTGATGGTGGAGGGGTCTGCCAGGCGAGTGGGAGGGATATGGGGCATGGGAAGAATTTGGGAGCTGAGACGAGAGAGGTGACGAATGGACAGGCACAAAAGGGGACCTTGGTGATGTCTGTCAAGCCCGTGCCCCCCACCGCAGGGAGGACAGGGGCTGAGCAGGCCTCCTTCCCGCTAGCCAAGCCAGCAGCGGGGAGCTGGCAGCAGGAAGTGGAGTGTCAGCCCTATCCTGCACACATATCTGGGGCAGTAGAACAGGACAAAACAGGACAGATGCCTCCTCTTGACCACATTTCCTGGAGGCCAAGGCAGGGGGCAGAGGGACAGGCTGGAGGAGGGGAAGGGGGAAGCCCCCTGGGAGGCCAGGCTGGTGTGGAAAAGGAACACAGCACAGAGCCACAGAGTCCAAGACTGGGGGTGTCACAGTCGTAGCCTGTGAAAGGTTAACATCTTTACATGTCAGCGTCTCAGCCCAGGGGCATTTTAGAAACGCCACAGTGGAAGCAGCAGCCCAGGGCAGGAGCAGCTCTGTGCAGCATCTCGCTGCACCCTCAGCAGACGTCTTGGGTGAGCACCGATCACTCCCACCAGACCACAGAGCCAGCCGCCTGAGGCTCAAAGGGGTGAAGCAACCAACCCAAGAGCCAAGTTCCAAACCCAAGTCGGCCTGTGCCCACACTCCGGGCTGTTTCCTGCAATCAAACCCCAGCCAGGGGCCCAGGATTGCTACAGCAGTGATAGGGCAGCCCAGCTCTTCAGAGATTTGCTGAAAGGGTGTTAGAAGTGACACTCGTCCCTCTTCCTGGAGGTTGCACTGCATAAAGGCATGGGCCTTGTAGTCACAGTTCTCTCAACCCCTCCCGCTGACCAGAGAGGCTGCACACTTCGGATGGGTACAGAGTCAGAGCAGGAGTTGAGCCACCCTGAAGGCGTCTGCGAGAGGAGACCTTTCCAATTCCGGGCTCTCTGGTTTGGGGGGCAGCAGATGGGGGGAATTCTCACTTAAGGAGCTATTGTAGAGAACACTGGATAAGCCCTGAATTCACGGGAAGCCCTTGGGGCCAGCCTGTCCCTGTGCCCGCATCGCCAGGAACAGGAAGGGCCAGAGCAGAGGGGTTGGACTAGCCAAGGTCAGCGGGCTGTCAGCGGCAAAGCCAGGCCTCCCAGCCCTCCCGACGCCCAGCAGTGGCTCCCCCTCTCCCGGGCTCTGGCGCCTGGCTAGGGAGCAGCGGCCAGGAGGGCCGGGAAGCAGAAGTGAGAACATCCCGGGTAGAAGGGCCGCAGGCTGAGCGGAAACCGGGGGCCGAGCCTGGTGCCAGCAGTGTGTTTCCGCCCACGCGGGCCGGGGGGCGCCTGGCAGCCCCTCTGAGGCTTGAGTCAGCTCTCACTTCCCTCCTTGGCCCCTATTTTGGTCCCTGGAAAAATGCTGACGCTGCAGAGGCAACGGGCCTTCTTCCCGGAGGGCCTGGCAGGGGTTTCAAGTTCTCTTTTCTCCTTCAAGAAAATTTTCCTTAAAAGAGATTGGCTCCCCAGTAAACGTGGCAGTGCGGGGTACAGGGGTGGGGTGCAGGGGTGGGCTGTCCGGAGCAGACCAGACAATAAACATAACGATTAATCCTCACTTATTTGGTAACCGGTAATGTTCCAAAGACTTCAAATGCATTTAAACTGCTTAACATACCAGTGACTGGGTGGAGTTACTGTCCCTATCTTATAGATGGGGAAACTGAGGCACAGTACCTCTGTACCATCCCACTGTGCTACAGAACAGACGTCTAATGGTGGGAGTGGGCACAACAGGAGACTCTTGGAACCCTCTAACTCTGCTAAGATCCTAGAGATCCCTTTTCTTCTTTCCCTATGAATTAAGTCTCAGAGGACTTGGGCATGAACATTCCATTCATTTATTTCTTCATTTGCTTGTTTGAGCCCTGCTTTGAGCCAGGCCCTGGGCTCAGGGCGAGGGATACAGCCCACTTTGTACACAGGACTGAAGGTCCACTCCTGGGGAGAAGCATGGTGCGATGGCGGCAGGGAAGACTTGAGGGAGGAGGCTGGGGACCAGGGGGACAGAGGCCAAGCAAGCTCCTAGCCGTCCGTTTCAGAAGGGGATTCCCTGGGCATCAGAGACGTAGTCCCTCCCCCAGCAGGTTTAGGGCTGGGAGTGGAGCAAATGACCAGAGAGACAGGGGCTTGTTCAAGGTGATGCCCAGCACCAGCACCACCCATCTCAGAATGAGGGGACAGCCCGGGGGCGGGGCACGCTAGGTCTCACTTCTATCTGCCATCCCTCCCGCAACCAGGTCAAGGGGTCCCAGTGATACAGCCCAGTGGCCCTGAGCTGGTGGTGGAGCCGGGTATGACGGTGACCCTGCGATGTGTGGGCAATGGCAGTGTGGAATGGGACGGCCCCCTCTCCCCCCACTGGACCCTGGACCTTGATGCCCCCAGCAGTGTGCTGACCACAAACAACGCCACCTTCCAAAACACGGGGACCTATCGCTGCTCAGAGCCTGGAGACCCCCTGGGGGGCAGCGCCGCCATCCACCTCTACGTCAAAGGTGAGGACTCTGCGGCTCCTCCAGGAGGCCCAGCAGGCGCCACCATGGGCAGGAGGGCTGGGGTGCCACGCTCACACTCTGACAAATGAGCTCTGCATTCGCTCCGTGCTGACCAGGAGCAAGGACCTGTGGCGGCGCCTCCCATTGCGTGTCGTCCCCACAGCAACCTTGTGAGGTTGGTGCTGTTATCAATATGCTCATGTCGCAGAGACTCGGAGAGGCGGCCCAAGTCACGCAGCATCACACAGTGGGACTGGACTGGAGCCCAGGCGCACATGACTCCAGGGCTCCTCTGCAGCATCCGCTGCGCTGCCCTGGGGTGGTGTGGCCTCGGGCCAATGATCAGCCTTTCTGAGCCTCCTGTCACCAGTGTCCAGGGCACCCTTGGCCCGGTGGAGGGAGGACAGTTGTAACTCTGTGCCTCCTCTACCCCAGACCCTCAACGGCCCTGGAACGTGGTAGTAGACGAGGTGACGGTGTTCGAGGGCCAGGACGCGTTGCTGCCCTGCCTGCTCACAGACCCCACGCTGGAGGCGGGCGTGTCACTGGTGCGTCAACGTGGCCGGGCTCCCAGGCGCCAAACCAGCTACTCCTTCTCACTGTGGCACGGCTTCACCATCCACAAGGCCTCGTACCTGCATAATGACTACTACCAGTGCAGTGCCCTGGTGGGCGGCAGGAAAGAGACGTCCATGAGCATCCGGCTCAACGTGCTGAAAGGTGTGCCGGGCAGGGAGGGACGACCAGGCCTGGAGGGCAGGGACAGAGAGCTGGCTGCCATGCGGGTGACTACTGGGGACCGGGTCCTCCTTTCACTTCTTCCCTCCAATCCATCCACCACCATCTGTGGAAGCAAGGGGGGCCAGGTGCTGGGCAGAGAGACAGGCCACATGCAAGCAAGTCATTCAGTGGACAGGGTCACGTCAGGCCATTAGACACGCTGGGAAAGACGTTAACCAGGGTAACTGCAGAAGAGGTGTGGAATAGGGGAGCCCTGTTGAGAGGGAGACATTTAATTCACGCTACAATGCGAGTGGTGTGAAGGAGGCGGCCACGTGGAGATCTGCAACAGCGGAAAGGTGGAGACGGCTCTGGGAGTGGAAGGAAGGCTGGCTCAGTCTCCCACCCTCCGACCACGGGTTCCCATGCAGGGACAGCCTAGGGCTGGGCACTGGGCACTGGGCACCTGAAGCAGGGGGCTGAGCCAAGAGGCAGGGAGGTGGCGGAGGTGCAGGGGGTGGCTCTGGCTGTGGCCCAGTGGTGGCAGTGGAAGTGGTGGGATCTCACCCTGCTGGGACTCGGGTTTCTGTGAGGATGGGTGAGAGCCACAGGACCCCGGGCTGAGGACCTGCGCTTGAGACAGGATCGGCCCCTGTAGCAGGGCCAGGGTCGGAGCAGGGTAGCTGGCCCAGTGGCCCGGGCACCTGAGGCTGCCAAATCTGCCCAGGAGGTCAAAGGCGCCCAGCTGTGTGAGCAGAGGCCGCCACTGGCCCGTCCTCCCGCAGAGCCCTGGGTTGGCTGAAGGCTGGGAGTCCCAGGCCCCAGCTCTGCCGAGACCCCTCAGGGACCTTGAGGGAGTCCTTTCATGTCTCTTGGCCGTGGGAGACTGCATCAGATCAACTTGCAACCGCAGCAACAGGCACAAATATTAATTTAATGCTGCTGCGTGTGCGGCTAGCACTGCCATGGATTTGACATTCTACGGGAGAGTCAGACCAGAGAGGAAGTACAGGCAAGTTGTGATGAGCAAGAAACCGAGCTGGGGTGGGGGCTAGGGGGGGTGTCAGGGATCAGGGCTCTGGTAAGGCTAATTCAGCTAAGCTGGCCACAGAGGGCCTCTCAGGAATTTTTGAGCGAAACATCTAAAGGATAAGAAGAGCTACTCATGCAAAGACTGGGAGGAAAGCCTTCCAGGAGGGAGGGGCGTGCAAAGGCCCTGCAGCAGGAATGAAAGCCAGTGTGGCTGCAGAGCGGCAAAGGGAGGGTGGGGGTCGGGGGTGGGGTCCGTAACAGGTCAGGGACATGGGAAGGACCTTGCCTTTTATTCTGCATGATGGGAAGCCACTAATGTTCACTCAGCAGAGAGGCTTGATCCAGTTTGTAAGAGGTCACTTTGCTGTTGTGAGGAGTCTAGGTTGTAGGGGGCGCAGAGAGGAGGCAGGGAGGCCTTCAAGGTGGCTGCTGCAGAAGTCCAGAGTGGAGAACGGCAGTGGACTGGGCAGGGTGGGGGCGCTGGAGAACGTGGGCCTTCCAAGGCTCTGTAGAGGCAGGACTTGCTGTGGGGAAACGGAGGCATCAGGGCTGCCTCCCAGGACTGGGCGGGGACGCAGAGGGGACTCTGGCCTATAGTCCGGCCCGTGGCAGGGAGCGGAGTGCCAGCTCCAGCCTGGGTGTTCAGGGCTCTCTCCCCTGGCTTCAGTCATCCCAGGGCCACCAGCCTTGACACTGGAGCCTGCAGAGCTGGTGCGGATTCGAGGGGAGGCTGCCCAGATCGTGTGCTCAGCCAGCAACATTGAGGTTGAATTTGATGTCTTCCTCCAGCACAACGACACCAAGGTCAGTCCCTGGAAGGACAGCAAGATGAGGCCTGCCATCCTCCCAGCACACCAGGCCCTATCGGGTGCAGCCCCCAGCCCCCCTCCAAACTGGCTGTCTGGGGAGAGGGCACAGCCCAGGGCCAGAGAGGGCAGTGGAGTTGCCCAAGGTCTCCCTGCCAGCCTGTAGCTGCTCCAGAGCCAGGACTCAGGCTCATGCTGCTGAACCCTGAGAAAGAGGGTGGGGGCAGGTGCTACTCTGTCCCCTTGGCCCATGACCTTTGCCCCAGCCTATAGACAAGAGCCAGGTGGGAGTTCACTTCTGATTTAGCAAGGGGTTTCTAGGCCACCTTTGAAGCCCAGGAATACAAGGGCTATTTCAGAAAAACTTTGGGAGAGAAGGAGGAGGAAGGAGTGTTCCCAGGAAGATATCATGCTAGGTTGCTTCTAAGAACCCCTCCCCACTGTGTGCATATCTCATTTACCCCTCGCTTCAGCCTCAGGGGCAGGGACCAGTAGTAGTCCCATTTTACAGATGAAGAAACTGAGGTCCAGGGTTCAGTCCCCTGCCCAAGGACAGGCAGATAGTAAGCCTTAAATGCTGAGGATTTGAACCCAGATCTTTCTAATCCCCAAACAACCTTGGTATACCATCTCCATTCCTTCTGGCTGCAGCTCGAGATCCCTAAACAATCTGACTTTCGTGATGAACATTACCAAAAAGTCCTGACTCTCAGCCTCAATCAAGTCGACTTCCAACATGCTGGCAACTACTCCTGCCAGGCCACCAATGTGCAGGGCACCCACTCCACCTCCATGGTCTTCCGGGTGGTAGGTGAGCATCAGCATGGTGGGGGAGGGTCGGTAGGGATCCCGCGGGTGGGTGCAGAGGGGGTTTGGGAAGGAGGAAGCTGATATCAGGGAAGGAGACACTGCTAAGGGCACCTCCACTGGAGAACCTTCCCACGCCCTCTCCCAGCACCCTCTTCCTCCTCGGCTCCTACGCTGTGTTGCCATGTTTCATCTTAGCACCAATTTTGCTTATTTGGTTTGGGATTGGGGTCCAGTAGCTCCCTACTGGACTGTGTTTGTTCACTCATTCATTCATCCCACCATGGACACATGAAGAGACACCGCATGGTGGTCAGGAGCACACACTCCCTGGCCACACTCCAACCTGGCTCCACCAAGGACTAGCAGGTTGCTTAACCCCCCGTGCCTCAGTTTCCCTATCTGCAAAATGGGGATATTAACAGTAACCGCCTTCATATGTGTGTGTATATATACACACACACACACACACACACACACATAAGAAGTGCCTCGAACAGGGCCTGGCACAGAGTACACGCTTGCCTAAGCTGCACCAGGAGATGGTATCCGAGAAGGCTCAGTTGGGTGCCGTGCAGATTGGGCCCAAGATGAAGGGATGAGGAAGAGAGAGGAGCTGAAGACGACCCTCAGGTCCCTGGCTCTGGAGACTGGGGTGGGTGCAGCGGCAGTCCTTGGACTGGAGCCCCGAGGCAAGGCAGGAGCTCCCCAGGGTGCAAGCAGGCTCTGGGTCATTCAGGTCTCCCGTGGCCAGAAGAAGAACAGCAAGATGATGCTAGAATAGAGGGCTTTCCCCCGAAAGTTCCCGGACTAGCTGGGGAGAGAAGGCAGCCACCTGCAGGGAGAGCCCGAGGCACGGCGCAGCGCAGACACGGCCCGATGAGTGTGTAGTCTGCAAGGGCGACAGAGGCCTGGGAGCGAGAGTTTGCTGTGGGCTGGGGGGGATAGGTGGAGACTCCCTGGTGCGGGTAGTCTTAGAGGATGAGGAGGCTTTAAATAGAAGAGAGGAAGAGGATGAAGTTCCTGGTGGAGGCAATGGCTTGAGCAAAACCTCCAAGGTTGGAATGACCATGGTGTGTTCAGGGATGTCCCAGGTGGGAGGAGCACTGAGACAGAGAGAGAGAGAGAGTGCAGGAAGAGGGGAGATGGCTGGACAAGCACAGTGAGACCTGATTTGACCGAGAAGAGCCTTGAATGCCAAGCTAAAGAATGGAGGCATGGGGAGCCGCAGGGGGCTTTTACACAGGCATGTGACAGGGTAGAAGAGCGAATTTTAGGTTTCATAGAATTAAGTACGGAGAGGAACCCTTAGGGATCGTCTAGTCCAAGGCTTTCTGCAGACCTCTGGGGCTTTAAGAAAGCACCTTGGGGACTCCCATGAAAGGCCTGGAGAGGCTGAGCGAGTGGGGGCTCTTGCCATGACTCCTTTGCTTGAGGTTCAAGCAGACAGCTTGATTCTGAGTCATGCAGTATTTCATGAGAGGAAACAACTAACAAAACCCAGCTCAAACTGGCCTAATCCAAAGGAGGATTACTTGGCCCTATAGCTAAAAATCCCATGGATGTCTGCTTCAGGGACAGTGGGATCCAGGTGTCCAGATGATGCAGGCAAAAATCTGCTGCTGCCCAACTCTCAGCTCTACTTCTTTCCTTTGGGGCTAGTCCCCAGGAAAGCCGTCCCGTCACGGGAGTCCCGGTGGCACCAGGCTTGGCAACGCCAGTGAAAGGAAGGCTTCTATTTTCCCACAGTTCCAACAAAAACCATGGAATTGAATGCTATAGACTCACGGGCTCATGTGCCCAGCTCATGAGGACAGATGACTGACGGGCTGGCCTGCGCCACATGCCTACTCCAGAGCCACACGTGGAAGCCACACGGGTGACATTCCTAGAAGGGGAAATGGATGAGAGCATGTGAAAAAACAACAGATTTTTTTTTATATATAACCAAACGTTTTTCGAATAGTTAGAAAGTCACAAATAAATTCAATCTCTTCATTCTACAAATAAGGAGACGGAGGCACAAAGCGGGGGTAGGAATTTGCCTGGGCTCTCCCAGGACTGGGTGAGAAGAGTTTTGACGCCGGGCTCCTGAGGCAGGTGGTGGGAAGAGGGATGTCAGAGGACCAGCGTTGGTGGGAGGTGGGGACTGCAGGTGGCACATCTTAGGTGCTCAGGGACTGGGTCAACGGGCGGATGAGCAAATGAACCAATAAACCAGGACATCTTCCACTAAGGCCGGATGCCCGTGTGCTCTGCTTTCCAGACAGTGCCTATATGAACTTGACCTCTGAGCAGAGCCTCCTCCAGGAGGTGACGGTGGGTGAGAAGCTCGACCTCAAAGTCAAGGTGGAGGCCTACCCAGGCCTGCAGAGTTTTAACTGGACCTACCTGGGACCCTTCTCCGACCCCCAGCCTAAGCTCGATTTTGTCACCATCAAGAACACATACAGGTACCACCTATTGGCTCCCATCCGCACGGCCCCACAGCCAGCTGGGGTGTGCTTCCACAGGAGTCAGGACACAGGCCACTGTGTGACCTTGAGCGAGTCCCTTCCCCTCTCTGGGCTTCACCGTCCCTGACTACGCGGACATCAGTCATCTGTGTGTGAGATTTGGGTCACACGGGCTTGCCTCTGTCCCGCATCCTTGGGAGGTCCAACGCCTGCCTCCTCCGAAGAATCCTACCACTTCATGGGAGTGCGCGTTCTCACAGACCCGCAAGGATGCTCCATCTCATTTGTCCTCCTCTTTTGTGGCTGGTCCGAATGTAGAAACCACCCCCGTGATTTCCGTGCATAGACACACTCCTAACAATGACTGCACAAGGTGTCTGCCACGTACACAGGTTTGTGGGCAGAGGGGTAGAGGGAATTAACATGGCACAACCACAGACACAGCTCACGTTCTTAAAGGCCTGTGGTCACCCCACCCTGAGCACGGCTCGCGGGCCGCTGTCCTCACAGGCTCCCGGCTGTTCCCATACAGCGCGGTCTGGCTTCACACCCTCGCTTCTTCCGTCTCTCCGCTCCCGGATCCCGTGGGCTCCACGTGCGCACTCGAGAAACCTATTTTTCCTGTTTCCTTGTGGACTGTGTCCTCAGGATCTTACTTTCCCACCCAAAGCGACCTAACCGGGTAGTTTCTAAACAAGAAAGTTTCCTCCCTAAGCGGAACACTCATCCCAGGTAGTAACATAACCGTTTCTTACCTGTCCTATTAGAATGAGAGAGCGCAGCTGGGTCAAGAGCAGCAAGTATGGGGTGCACGCCCGACACTTTCCCGCCCACACTCATGGCAGCCCCGATCCCTTTTCTGCCACTCTTCCCGGCAGAGTCTAGATGCAGCCTTAGAGCTCTTCTCCACGCAGCCCAGGCAGTATGTCCAGCATAGCTGGCTCCCGAGAGGAGACCTGCCTGCCATCCCCAATCCCGTAGACATCCCCCCGGGCCACAGCCCTCTGGGGCTCTTATTCCAGCTCCCGAAGCCCAGACCTCCTTGATTGCTGGGATCCTGCTGTCAGCTGTCAGAAGCAGCCAGGATGTTTCCTCGTCCTCGTCTATCTCCTCTCGGCTCACACCTGGTCCTTTCCGGCCAGGGTTTTTCTATCTCTCCCTCCTCTGAAGCAGTTCTGAGTCTGGAATCTGCAGGCCCTGGAAGGGGGCTGGTCCATGGGAAGGTTTCGGGGATCCATAAGCAGCAGAGACGTTGTGGAAAGGAACCCCAAACAGCCACTAAATTGTAGCTCATGTGATGGTTATGATCATCACGGTGACTTTGAATCATCCAAAAAAGTTAAATTCTTTTCAGTGAAAGGGGTAGATGTCAAGAAATGACACATCGAGGGTCTGTGTGCCGAAGGTCTGGCTGAACGAAATTGCCCTTTGAATACTGTGGATTTTAGCCGACTAGTAGTAGCTGCAGACATTTTCCAAGCAAGATTTGGTAATTTGCTACAATTTCTTTTTTTTTTTTTTGAACTTATCTATTACCTAAAAAATACACGTTCATTATGGACAAATTATAAAATAGAGATTAAGAAAAGAATAAAACAAAAAAAAAATTTCCTGGAGTCAGCCAAGGAAAACTTTTGTCGTTAGTAACTGCCTCCAGGCCTTTTCTGTGATACAGGGTACCATTAAATTGAGTGCCTACCATGAGTCAGATTCTGTGTCAAGCACCCTAAACACACACCCCTTTAATCCTCAGGCCAAGCCTGTGAATTAATAACCACCAGTACCACCCTTACAGCACAGGAAGTAGAGGATCAGAGAGGTTAAGTACACAGCCTAGAAATGGCAGCACCGGGAGTTGAACCCCGGTCTCCATAGCAACACAGCTTAGAACCCAGGGCCCTATATCCTGCCTCTTGTCCCTCTCACAATCCCTCTTGGCTGGGAGGGCACTTTAGGGATTTTCAGCAGGGATTGCTGCTCTTGGGAAGGCTTAGTCTGGTGACAGTGGTGACAGGAGGGGACTTGTGATGTGCTCCCAGCAACTCACAGGCATCACCTCTACTAAACCTCAGAATAAACCACTTTCAGATTGAAAAAACAATTAAGGAAGTAGGGTTGGTGGTTCTCCCGTGTCTCAGCGGCACCCCGACTGAGCGCCTGGCACAGCCAACGCCTTTGGGCCCCGGACTGTTTACCAGAAATAAAGCAAACCCCTCTAAGGTTGTTGACTGAGCCTCGCTGTCCTGGCAGGGGCTGTGACAGGCTGGGGCTCACCAGACCCCTGCTTCTCCCCCGCAGGTACACCTCCACCCTCTCCCTGCCCCGCCTGAAGCCCTCCGAGGCCGGCCGCTACTCCTTCATGGCCAGGAACCCGGGTGGCTGGAGCGCTCTGACTTTCGAGCTCACCCTTAAATGTGAGTGATGGGCGGAGCCTGGGGGGGCGGCCTGGGGCTGCCCATAAAGATGGGCTGGACTGGGGCGGGGGTTGTCCTGGGAGAGGTTGTGGGGGAGCAGGCCTCAGTGCAGGGTGGTCAGGAAAGGGGGCTCTCCTCCTCAGACCCCCCAGAGGTAAGAGTCACGTGGACCTTGATCAATGGCTCCGGTGCCCTGCTCTGTGAGGCCTCCGGGTACCCCCAGCCCAACGTGACATGGCTGGAGTGCAGGAGCCACACTGACAGGTAGGCGGGCTCTGCTCAATTCTCTCACCTGGGTTGTGGGGCTGGGGCAGGGGCTGGGCACCCCCAGAGTGGGAGGGAGGGGCGTGCCGGTGCTGGGGACCCCGAAACTCTGAGCCACATTCTGCTCTTCCCAGGTGTGATGAGGCCCAAGTGCTGCAGGTCTGGGAGGACTTGCACCCTGAGGTCCTGAGCCGGGAGCCCTTCCACAAGGTGACTGTGCAGAGCCTGCTGCCCATGGGGACGTTAGAGCACAACAGGACGTACGAGTGCAGGGCCCACAACAGCGTGGGGAACAGCTCCCACGCCTTCAGGCCCATCGCTGCAGGTGAGCGCAGCCTTCATGCCCGCTGCACGTGGGATGGGAGGCGGTCCCGGACCCTGCACAGCCCTCAGGGGCCAAGGCCAGATCCCCACGACTCCAGCACCCCCCATGACATGCAGGTCCCCAGAGGCACCGGGAAGAGGCAGAAGAGCAGAGGGAGGTAGACGTGTGGTCCAGAGAGAAAGCAGCCTGAGGCACCCTGGCCCTGCTCCTGTCCCTGCACTCTAACTCATTCCTTAATTCACAAGCATGTGCAGGCGTGTGGCACACATGCTGCGAGCTGGGACAGGCTCCGTGCAGGGGACCGGTGCCTCTGCGGAGCTTAGAACAAGCAAACACAGTCCACCCCCAGCCCAGAGCCAGTCTTGATGGCCCACAGCACCCTCAGGCCTTTAGGGACCAGGCTCCAGCACCCACTGTGTGCCCTGGTGAGGCTCCCTGGGCCTGGCGAGGACCCAGCAGGCCATGGGCTCTGCCTGGCTCAGAGGTGGTCACCACTGTGCCCCAGCCGCTGGCTTTGGAGGAGCTGCCGGCGGCTGCTCTCAGCCCTGCTGCTCTCAGCCCTGCTGCTGGGTGTGTACCATAAGTAGCAAGGGCAACGTTCTATTGGCTGCTCCCGCTGTGCCAGGCCCCATGCCCAGCTCTGTGCAGGCATTACCACAATTAACTCACACACCCAGGAGCCAGGTACCATTTTCCTTCCTATTTGGGGGAGAAGGGGAGGGGATAAAATCTGAGGCCTAGAGAGAAGTCATAGGTTCAATGTCACACGCTTCCTAAGTGGCAGAGGTGAGATTTGACTTTGGACCCAAGCTCTTGATCTGAGCAAGGGGGTGGAAGTTATGTCCTTCGGAACATGTCACAAGGCTAGGGTTACAGATCTGGGGAAAGAGGACACCAGGAGCCGTGAGTCTGGCTTTCAGACCCTCAGATGGCTGCGTGGTTCCAAAGGACACGTGAGGAAACGCCGTGGAGTCGGCTTTCAGCGCAGCCTCTAGAAGGCCTTTCTGATCGAGCTTCCTGGATGTATAGGGGATAAAGCCCCCGTCACTGGGGGTGTGCATGCAAGCAATGGCTGGGCACTGGGCCGGGCTGCTGCAGAGGAGTTTCCTGCCCTGGCAAGATGTGACTGCATGACCCGAGAGTCCCCCAGCCACACAAGGCTCTGATTCTGGCAGGGTTTGAGGCTGTGCACGGGCAGGGCTGCAAGGTCTGTCCCCCCTGCCCCTCTCTGGAGGAGGGGCTGCCGGAGGGGCTCTCTGAGGCTCCAGGGGCTTCCAGCAAGGGGACGCTTCATTCAGTCAGCAAGCCTTTCCTGAGCACCCCTGTGTTCCAGGCAGCGCGCTGGCCTGATCTCAGCGGAGACCCCGTCTGTCTGCTCACTCCTCTGCCTCGCCCCTTCCAGGAGCCCGGACACTTCCCCCTGACGAGTTCCTCTTCACGCCAGTGGTGGTCGCCTGCTTGTCCGTCATGGCCTTGCTGCTGCTGCTGCTCTTGCTGCTCTTGTACAAGTACAAGCAGGTGAGCCGGAGCGGGGGCCGGAATGGGGCAGCCAGGTGCCTACGTGAGCCAGGTGCATGCAGGCTGGCACCGCCAGGCTGCATGGATCCACCCCTCCGCCCCCTCACCCACTCATTCTGCCAGTCGATCAGTCAGTCAATCAGCTAACAGCTCTTTAGTGGGCGCCTATGGTATGCCAGCATGGGCCAGGTGCTGGGTGGCCTCTCACGCTCTGCGCTGGTTGGGTTTAGTGTCTAGTGCAGGAGATATTTGCTAATCAAACAGCCATGAAAGTGAGGGTGCATGCTATAGAGAGAAAGATGCTATGAGAAGAGGAACAGGATTCCTGGACAGCATAGGCATGGGATCCTGTCCCAGCCTGGGGTGTCCAGGCACCAACATAGAGCAGGTGAGCTGGGCACACAGGGAGGACATCCCCAGGGTCAAGCCTGAGTCTTGCCCGTAGGTAGTGTGTCTAGTGAGAAGGAAGGCCTAGGACCATCATCGTCTTCCTTATTTAATATTTTTTTTCTTTTTTTTTTTTCCTTATTTAATATTATTAATCAGAATTGCCACTTACTGCATGTTGCTCATTTAGTGCATTGCCTGTCACTATGTGTACTCAATAAGTGATAGCAATTTTAGGGGCTTTTTTTTTTTTAGAGATGAGGTCTCACCATATTGCCCAGACTGCACTCAAACTCCTGGGCTCAAGCAGTCCTCCTGCCTCAGGCTCCTGAGTCGCTGGGACTGCAGGCATGCTAGGGGCATTTTTATGAAGCATGTTACCTATATCATCTCATTTAATGCTCTCAGTAACCATGGCACGCAGACAGTGTTACTAACACAGTTTTATGGAATTGGATGCTGGGGTTCTACCAAACGTGAGAAGGCAGCTCTGAGGGCACACCCCAAGAAAACAGGACCCCAGGTCAAGACCTCAGGGATCGAGGCCCAGCTTTGACACTGTTTTGCCATGTGACCGTGGCTGATTCACTATCCTCTCCAGGCCTCAGTATCCCCTCCTATACAATGGGACTGGGACACTTTAACAGCTCCCTCTTCCTCTGATATTCCAAGAGCGTACTGTCTAGATTAAGAGCCTGGGACTTGGGGTTCAATGGATCTGGGTCCAAATCCTGCCTCTGCCAGTCTCTGGCTATGGGACGATGGGAAAGATGTTGTCTCTAAGCCTCTGTTTCTCCATGGGGTTAGGAATGGCACCGGGCTGGTTCCATGGCACAGTGCGTGCCGAGGACTTGGCAGGTGCAGGCAGTGCCCAGTGATGGAGCTGCACACCCCCAGCCCGGGAGGAAGTTGATTGGGGAACCAAAGTTAGCTCATGTCTCTTGGGACTGGAGGTGGGTCTGACGTTGGGCATCTCCATGACTACACACCCAAAGTGGTTGTTGGGCCCTCCTCGCCCACCTCCAGGGACAAGACCTCATTCACCCTCGTGGCCACCCGTTCCTTCTCTGAGCAGCTCGGACTGCAGCAGAGTTCTTCCTTATATGGCACTGAACGCTGCCTCCCGGGCCCTGAGAGATCCCAGAAGAGGCCTAGGTCCCCTACAGTCCTTTCTGCCTTGGGCTGACTACCCCCCTTGGCTGTGGGTTAGGAACGACGTCTTCTCTCTCCATGGGACCATTTTCAGAACACATCCTCCCAGTCACCAACTCATTTCCCACCCAGGAAATTCGGCTGCCCCTTACCCTATGCAAGGCTGAGAGAAGACCTGCAGCCTCGGGCTACCCTCTTCCCCAGCACCCATGTGCAGACCCTTTAGTTGCCCCAAGCTGAGCTGCCCACCCACTGGACACGACTGTGAGGGTCGAGCCGGCCATGCCCTGCAGTGCAGTCCTCCCGGGCCCCGCCCCCTGCGGTTCTGAGCCCCACTGCCCAGGCCTGGGGAAAGGAGCGTGCTGTTTGGGAAGGGTTGTTTCTGCCTCAGGGCTGAGTCATCACCTTTCTGTCCCCAGAGAGACCACAAGGGGGGGCCCGGGGGAAGAGAAAGGGCAGGAGTCAGCGGCTCCTCCAGAGCAGGAGGCCCCGGAGAGACGGGATTCTGGGGCCGGGGCTGAGCTCTGAGGAGGGACTGGAGGGACCCCTAAAGTTTCCAGAGGGATCGCTCAGGTTTCTGCCTTTCTGAGACAGAGAACATTTGCCTGCCCAGAACCAGCAGGCCTCCCTCGATGGGGAGGGTGGCCAGGACTTGGGTGTCTCCATGTCCACTTCGGCACCCAGGGCGCGAGTCCTGGGTGGGCATAGGGCTTGGGCCCATCCCGAGGATTAAGGAGATGACGCACATTGAGTGTCGGGCCCAGTGCCGTGCTCACAGGAAGTGCTCAGTAAGCTATCGTCACGTCACTCCTATGTTATTGGGAAATCTGGCCTGCCCCATCCCCTCACTAATGGCCGTCCTTCAGAAGAGAGGCTCCCTCTGGGTAGATGGCAGCCTCCCTCGTGCCCTGGGAGGCTGGCCAGCCAGCAAGGATGAGGGTGGGGATTCCCGAGGCAGGTGGGAGGGAGCTCAGGACTCCTCCAGGTTCGGGAGTCTAAGAGTCAGAGATCTGAGATTCCAGCCGAACCTCTTCCTCCTTGATCCCCCTTCCTCTCAACGATGTCCCCAACGCAGCTGGGGTGGCCGTGAGGGGTGGTGGTAACTCAGCCAGCTGCAGAGGGACAGAGGAAGGAGAAGTGGTGAGGAGAAGAAACAGCCTTGGCCACAGAGGCTCACCGGAGATGGAAGTGGCCAGGAAAGGTCAAAGAAGCCCCTCCTCGCTCTCCGTCTCTGTCTTCTGGGCTGGGAAGGCACCACACGCAGGGTTTCACTCCTTGGAGACTCAGGACATCTTTCCCTATGTCCCAAGCTATAACAGGGATGTTCTTAAGTTTATTTGAAGTCTGCCCTCCTGAATCAGAGCCCAGAAGTTCTTCCTTATGTCTAACTGCAGTCTTTTCTCCCTAACTACCATTTAGATTCTAGAAGTTCCTCCTGGTGGCTATCTGAAAGCTCTTCTCTTAACCTGGCAAGACTTCCAGCCATAAGCCACCCCACGCCCCAGCAGCTGCCCACACTCCCACTAGCTCGGGTGCCCAGGGAAGGAGCCCAGCTGCAGGCACAGCCGAGCTGGTCCCCGTCCCCAAGGCCTGACCGGAAAGAGAGTTGGTCTGCTGACCCAAGGCCTCAGTGTCCTCCACTGCCCGGCCCAGCTTCCACTTTCCCCCTAAGCTTGGTCTTCCATCAGCACTTCTCATGAGCAGCCCTTGGCATGATGCCCCCGTGCAGCTGCCCCCTGGGCAGGAAACAGAGGCAGCCACTCCTGCGCCCCGGATCCTGGGGCTCTGCCTCCACTGGCTGGTTGGTGACAGCATGGAAAGCCCAACAAGGAACTCTCAGGTCCTGGCTATCCAGAAGGTCACCGTCTAGTGGGCAGGTGCCCTCTCTCCCTCCCTCTCTCTCTCCAGTGTAAAGTCAGATGGCTGCTCACCTGCTTCCAGCCCTCAGGGCCTCTCAGTGTAGCTGGAAGGAAATCCACTCAGCTTATCACAGCCCTCAAGACCTCCTGCCTCTGGAATCTGAATCTCCCCCTTCACCTCCCTCAGGCCAGGCTGGCCGCCTTCCTGTAGCTCAAACTTGCCAGAATCCTTCCCACGCAAGCCTGCAGCTTGTGTGTGCCCCACGCCTGGGAAATTCTCCCTCCGGAGGCCACATGGCTGGCTTCCTGGGGACCTGTCCTGACTCACTCGCACCTAACACTCTCTATCCCATTTCCTCGCTTTATTTTTTTCACAGCACTATTTGAAAATGTCCTACATATATACATATTTGAGTTTAATGCCTCCCAGCCGCTATAATGCAAACTCCATGGGGGCAGGGGCCGACACAAATAGTAAGCTATTTGGACGGGACTATTATTCAGCCTTAAAAAGGAAGGAAATTCTGATTCATGTTGCAACGTGAATGAACCTTGAAGACATTATCTAGCTGAAATAAGACAGTCATGAAAGACAAGTGCTCTGTGGCGCCACGTATATGAAGTACACAGAGCAGTGAAATTCAGAGAGAGAAAGGAGAAGCATGGTTGTCAGTGGCGGGGCAGAGGAGGGAATGGGGAATTGTTCTTCGATGAGTAGAGTTGCAGTTTTGCAAGATGAAAAGAGCTCTGGAAATGGCACACCAATGTGAATGTACTTAATGCTGCCCAGCTATACACTTAAAAATGGTTGATTAGGTAAATTTTATGACATGTATGCTTTATCACAATTAAAAAATAAAAACAAAAAATACTTGGAAGGGAAAGTGGGTGGGTGGCTAGATGGGCGGATCTCAAGTTCCACCCTCCCTTCTGGCTCAGGAATCATCAGAGCTGTCAAGGCCCTCAGAGGTTTTCCTGTCCAAGGTCTTCGGTGCACAGATGGGGACACTGAAGGGCTTGGAGAAGGGAAGGTCACGCAGTAAGGCGGAGTTGAGCAGCGACACGCTGTCAGTGTCACATTCATGAGACAACATGACTCTCTCAGACCCAGTTGCCACATGCTGCTGCTTCTTCTGCAGAAGCCCAAGTACCAGGTCCGCTGGAAGATCATCGAGAGCTACGAGGGCAACAGCTACACCTTCATCGACCCCACCCAGCTGCCCTACAACGAGAAGTGGGAGTTCCCCCGAAACAACCTGCAGTTCGGTGAGGCAGGGCCCCAGCGCCCCCGTGCCTTCTCTCTGGGGCGGGCAGGGCTGCAGGGAGCTCTGAGCCCCTAGAAAGAGGCTGTGTGTGTGTGTGTGTGTGGCAGGTAAGACCCTCGGAGCTGGCGCCTTTGGGAAGGTGGTAGAGGCCACGGCCTTTGGTCTGGGCAAGGAAGACGCTGTCCTGAAGGTGGCTGTGAAGATGCTGAAGCGTGAGTGAGGGAAGGGGCTGAGGGAGGGGACGGGAGCTGGTGTATGCTGGGGCTGAGCTGGCCGTGTTGTCACAAGTGGCATCGCCCACATCTCAGCCTGTTGGAGCCTGGGGGACAGAGCTGGGGTTGGGGGTGAGGACTTGGCCATTCTTGTGGGCTCCAGCCTCCTCTGACTCCTGGTTCCGAGGAGGTCTAGACTGACCTCTGGGTGTGGAGGGGCATCCAAGGAAGCTGGGGGGTAAAGAGGCCACTAGCCACAGCCTGGTCACCATTTGGCCTTCTGCCACCCTGAGACCACCCCAGTGACAGGACCATCCCTCCTCTCTCCCTCCCTGATTCCCATCTGTGTCTGCATTTCTCCTCCCTCTTTTGGCCGGGTCTCTGGGTACCCCTGCTTGCTCCCCTGGGCCTCTGCATCTGGCCCCTGTCTATGTGGCTCTCTGTGTCCTGCCCTCTCCCATCTGTGGGACCTGTGGCCCCTTCTCCCAGCCACGGCTCATGCTGATGAAAAGGAGGCACTCATGTCAGAACTGAAGATCATGAGTCACCTGGGCCAGCACGAGAACATCGTCAACCTCCTGGGAGCCTGCACCCACGGAGGTGAGTGCCTGGCCGGGACTGGGCCCAAGGTCCTGGGCCAACTCCTGGCCTAGTCAGGAGTGCTAGCGGGTGGTGCAGAGCGTTCTGCGGGGTTCTACCAGGTTCCTCAGCCGCAGGCATCAGAGCACCCAGAGGAGGAGATGAAATTGCACATTCCTGGGCCCTGCTTCCAGGGACCCCGACTCTATGGGTCTGGAGTGAAGTCTCCAAGCAAAGATGCTTGGACACTCACTGCAGGGTCCACAGAGGTGCCCCAAGGTTTTTTGGGACTCCCAGTGCCCCCATCGTCTTCCCCTACAGCAGCTTTGGCCTATATGGAGCTGCCACAGATTGCTTTAAGGAAAGAATTCTTGGGCTGAATTTTTCTTTTTTTGTAAGTTCCTCTGTTTTAAACAGATGGGGCTACTGAGGCACAGAGAAACTTGCTCAGAAAGCAGGCTTAGAACTCGGGCATGTCGTGTCCCAGGCCAGGGGCCTCAGTGCCCCTAGCCCCATGCTCCTGTCCCCATGGGAAGCACTCAGCACCTCCCTCACCCACACCCTTGGCTGCTCTAGGCCCTGTCCTGGTCATCACTGAGTACTGCTGCTACGGAGACCTGCTCAACTTCCTGCGAAGGAAGGCTGAGGCCATGCTGGGACCCAGCCTGAGTCCGGGCCCGGACTCTGAGGTGGGCACCGGCTACAAGAACATCCAGCTGGAGAAGAAATACGTGCGCAGGTAGTACCTGGCAAAGGACAAGGAGGCCTGGGAGGCGGGGCCCCGGGTCTGTGTGCAAAGCCAGCTCAGGGCTGTGCGGCCCTCACTCTCCCACTGTGCCATGGAAGTAGCCACCTCAGGTATTACAGGAAACTGTTTTTCTACTACTGATTCCCATTATTCAACAAATATTTGAGCAACTACAGGCAGCTCACAGTCTGGCGGAGACGTATTAATGAAATCACCACCTAATGTGTATAAAAGATCAATCACATTCCATGCCTGGAACCCTAGCCAGAGTGGGGCAACTTTGGGGGACAGTTGCCCCTGTTTCTCCCATAGCACGTACTGTGGGGGGGCTGCAGGACACTCATTCCACTTAGGAGTAGCCAACAGCAATTCCCCACATCACCACAGAGAAGTGGGGACAGAGCCTGTTAGAGAGGAGGCAAACAGCATCACCGGGCCAGATCTTTGGTCCACTTGGGCCTCAGTTTCCCCAGGCAAGCCATCAGAGTGTTGAACCTCTCCAAGTCTTTCTGGCTCTGTTGTTCTGTGATGCTGTGATTCCTGGAAGCCATCCAGAGGCAGATGGACAGAGCCACATGGGGAACCAGAGAGAGGAAGTAGAAAGTTTCATGTTACACATGAGTCAGGGCCAGAGGCAGAGCCTGGACTAAATTCTGCACTCTTGACTTCCGGTCTGGTACTCACCTCACCACACTGCTGTCCTGGAGGCCTCCCTCCGTCTTGAGGGCTTGTGGGGCCCCAAAGCCAGACTGCAAGGGGCCAGGACAAGATCAGAACGAGAAGGGTGTACGTTGTGCCTTTATCCTAGACACTGTCAGCTGCCAAGCCTGCAAAGGTAAAAGTGGAAGGAGGCCATCTCTCTTCACCCGGTGTCCTCAAAAACACAGGGGCCTGGCAGGGTCTGCTTCTCTGCTCAATCTCTGGCACTCCTCTGGAAGGGTGGCACACAGTGGGCCTCTGCAGGCTGGAACTGTACCCAGAGTGGGATAATTTCGAGGGCAAATGGCATGTGAACTAATCCTGCCAGTGGGATCCCAAACTATGTTAATAAAAGTATAGTTTCTAGAACAAACGTATAGTTTCTAGGGAGGGGATGGTTTTGCCATAGTCAGATTATAAATAAAACACTAGGTTCCCTGTCCAGTGTCCAGGCATACCAGTGCATGGACATTGTCAAGGTGTACCTCTCTCATGCAAAGGGAGGGGCAGGCAGGTGAGAGAAGTCGGGCCTGGCTGGAAGGTCAGAAGCAGGAGTGGCTATTCAGTTTAGAGCAGTGCTTCTCAAAGTCTCTTACCACCCAAAATGCAGGCTCATAGACATCACCTGGGGCTGTCAGAAACACACCATCTCAGGCCCACCCACCCCAGACCTGCTTATTCAGAGTCTGCACTTTAACATGAATTACAGTTAAAGAAATTTAGGCAATTTAGGAAGTGCCTCCCTAGACCAGTGGGCCTCAACCTAGGCTGCGCGTTGGAATTACCTGAGAGGTTTAAAACTGAATGACTATGGTTTGCCCCTATTATTTCTGACATAATTGGTCTGGTGCTAGAAGCTCCCCCAGTGATTTTAATGTGAAGCCAGGGGTGACAGCTGCTGTCCAGAGAAGAGAGGACTCAAAGAAGGGGCCCTAGAATATGCTCAAAGTCCAGCAGGGCTGTTACAGAAAAGAGTGAGCCAACTGCCCTGTGGCCTTTAAGGGGAGGGCAAGGACCAGAAGGAGGAAAATCCCAGGGATGGATTGGCATTAGGAAATGAAGAACTTTCTACAAGACAGAACTGCCTAAAGATGGAGCGGGTTATAGCTCCCTTACTAGGGATGGCCAAGCAGAGATCAGTGATCACTCAGAATGCAGCAGGGGGGATTGTATCAGAAAGGGGTGCTCACATGGATCTTGAGGTCCCTACCCTTCCCTGCTGAGTGGCTAGGAGAGTTTGTAGGGGGGCAGGAAGCCAAGGGCTGAGCTGGGCAGTGCAGTGTTGGGGACTGACCAACCCCCCTCCCCTCCTATGTAGGGACAGTGGCTTCTCCAGCCAGGGTGTGGACACCTATGTGGAGATGAGGTCTGTCTCCACTTCCTCTTCAAACAACTCCTTCTCTGAGCAAGGTGAGGAGGTCCCAAGGCCAGGGGAGAAGGGCTGCAGTGGGACTGGGGCCAGGGAGGGGCAGGGGCATGGCAGGGCTGTCCTGATACCTCTCCCCACCCTAGACCTGGACAAGGAGGACGGACGGCCACTGGAGCTCGGAGACCTGCTCCAGTTCTCCAGCCAAGTGGCCCAGGGCATGGCCTTCCTTGCTTCTAAGAATGTGAGTGGGAGCTGGTCCCAGCCTGTGGCCACCCAGGCTGGTAGGGGAGGCTGGATGAGCCAGGGCGAGGGGGAGGAAAGGGGAGCGTGAGGGGGCAGGTGAGGAGCGAGTGCGAGAGAGCAAGTGGGCAGCAGCCTTGAAGGGCTTCAGGGGCCTCCCTGCTCCTCGCCTTGAGCTTGGGTAGAGGAGGGGCCAAGACTAACCCTGCAGAGCTTTCCCTCCCTTAGTGCATCCACCGGGACGTGGCAGCCCGCAACGTGCTGTTGACCAATGGGCATGTGGCTAAGATTGGGGACTTTGGGCTGGCCAGGGACATCATGAACGACTCCAACTACATCGTCAAGGGCAATGTGAGTGCTGAAAGGAAATGGGCCAGGCTGGGGAGGGAGCCGAGTCAGGACCCAAAGTGACTGAGGACTGCCGTGCTAGGCCCGCCTGCCTGTGAAGTGGATGGCCCCAGAGAGCATCTTTGACTGTGTCTACACGGTGCAGAGCGACGTCTGGTCCTACGGCATCCTCCTCTGGGAGATCTTCTCACTTGGTGAGACACTGGGCCCCCGTCCAGGGCTGAGTCCTCTTACCATACTGGTGTCTCATACCTCACAGGGGAATCTGGTCAAGGGTGCTCCAGTGCCCAGGACAGAGCAAGGAGTGATGGGAGTGAAGGGATAGGCAAATAGTTCTCGAAACTCAGAGCTGCACCTCCCACGTGGGCTGGGCAGGCCCCCTCTCCCCGCACGCATTCCGCTCTGGGCCCTTCCCTCATTTGTCTCTGCTCGTGCTGTTGCTGCTACCCAGAACACTGTTATCCTCCTTTGTCTGAAACCTACAGACCCTTGAAAATGCAGCTTAAGTTATCTACCAGCTCCCATTTCCTGGGTCCTAGGACAGGGACTTAAGTCTTTGAATGCAAACACACTCCTTTAACAACCTTAGTAGGTGCAAGCTCACTGTCCCACTTTAATGACACACAACTGAAGCTCCAGTCTGTCTGATCCCAAAGCCTGTGATGCAATTCTTGGTAAGGTGTGACAAGGCCTGGCTCAGGGCTCTCTCCTTCCTAAAGCCTAAGCCCACTGCATAATGCCAGGCACACAGCAAGCACTGGATAGCAGCAGCTGCTGTTCCGGTGTCACAGTCCAGGTGGGACACTGTGCATTCAGCCTCACTGAGACGTGTGTGGGAATGTGGGAAGGGGCAGGGGATGGCGAGCAATGAGGATGGCCTCTCACATGATCTTGACCTTTGCAGGGCTGAACCCCTACCCTGGCATCCTGGTGAACAGCAAGTTCTATAAACTGGTGAAGGATGGATACCAAATGGCCCAGCCTGTGTTTGCCCCAAAGAACATGTGAGCCAAAGGGTCCCAGGGAGGGAAGAGGACATCCAGGTTTCAGGTGTCCAAATGCTCCAGGGCCAGGATTCATCTCCCCCACCATGGACTCCAAAATAAGCCCCTTTTATACAATCAGAATTTCCACTGGTTTCCCAGGTTGCATGAGAGATGTTCTGAGAAGACTCTTAACTGGGGCTGGTCCTAGACTCATACAGACTTTTAACTCAGATTATTAGTGACCCATAGGATACCAAATGGCCTGTGTCAAAATGGTGTTAATGAAAGTACTCTTCTCCAAAGGTTCCTATAAAGATTAAATAATAATGCATGCCAAGGTTTATACTGAATTCACTTTTGACTAGGTCTGCAGACCTCTCTGCTGAGTAGGCCTTCCTGGGGGTGGCAGGTAGTTCCCCAGAACTGGGGAGCCATACATGGGCGACCTCTGTCCTGTCTCCAGATACAGTATCATGCAGGCCTGCTGGTCCCTGGAGCCCACCCACAGACCCACCTTCCAGCAGATCTGCTTCCTCCTTCAGGAGCAGGCCCAAGTGAACAGGAGAGAGCGGGTGAGTGGGGCGAGGCTCAGGGCAGGTGGCTGGTTAAGCAGGCTGGGCTGGGCCTGATGGATCAGAACCAATGGTCCCTGGTCTCTTCCACCCTTAGGACTATGCCAATCTGCCCAGCAGCAGCAGTAGCAGCGAGCCCGAGGAAGAGAGCTCAAGTGAACACCTGGCCTGCTGTGAGCAAGGGGACATTGCCCAGCCCCTGCTGCAGCCCAACAACTACCAGTTCTGCTAAGGGGGTGATGGCAGGGAGCACCGTTCTCCGCTCCTCCAAGTTTCAACTCCTCCATGGATGGGGCAACATGGGGAGAACATACAAACTCTGCCCTTGGTCATTTCATTCAACAGCTCGGCCCAACTCTGAAACTTGGGAAGGTGAGGGATCCAGGAAGGTCAGAGAGGATCCCACTCCCCGAGCCTGGGCCATCACTGCCAGTCAAGGGCTAGGGGCTGAGCCCCGCCCTCCCTCCCCCACTGTCCTCGTGGTGTTGGCCCCATGTTCGCTATGCCAACTAGTAGAACTCCCAGCTCACTCTCTTAACCTTGTTCCCATTTCTGAGACCTTCTTCCCTAATGCCTTTGTGTCTCAACAAAAATGGACTGATCTTATGCCCATGAAGTTCCCAGGAGCTGCTCTGGTATTGAGAAAACAAGACTCCTTGGGGGCTAGTCAGACTGGCAGAGAAGTAGGATACCCTCTGAGAAGAGCAGCAGGAGTGGACAGGTGCTCACACTCAGCTCAGGCCCCTTGGAGCAGGGTGGCTCCTTTGTAAGAATCTAACAGGACCTAGTCTCTGCCTTATATCCTTCTTCATGCCACAGCCCCACCCCACCCTGGATCTGGTACTGCTATAATGAGCCAAGTGGCAGCTAAATATTAGGGGTGTTCTGCCCAGGCCCTTGTCATTCTGGGTTGCAAGGTAGGGGACCTTGGCATGTGGCTGGCCACACCAAGCAAGAAGCACGCACTCCCCCAAGCTGACTCATCGTTACTAACAGTCACGCTGTGGGATGTCTCCGTACACATTAAACTAACAGCATTAACTCAGCCGACCTCTGGTTCTTTGCGCCACACAAGCACCTGCAAATTCCCTAGGACTTCCTTGCATCCCTCCTTCACGTGAGGGGATGAGCTAAGCACTTCTGGAGCTCGACCACATTGTGCCCCACACAAGGAGCATGGAATTGACTCTTGCTTCACCCAAACCAGATAATTTAATAAACTTTATTCTTGTCAGGGGAAGAGGGAGGGGGAAAAAGCCAGCTACTCCACTCTTCTCAATAAATTAAGTAATGCATGGCCAATTCCCAGGCCCTAAGCAAACCTTGGGCACTTGAGCCAGTCCTGCTGTTTCCTTACGGCCCAGTCTGCTTTCCCTTCACAGAAGGGAGTTTATCCTACTGCTGCCAGGTTATGTCATGACCACAGGCCATATCCCCTCTGTGGAGAGGGTCCCAGGGCCCAGAGAGGATGTCAGGTGCAGCAGCAGTGGCCAGGGAAAAAGAAGGAAGGGGATTCTTTTCTTCAAAGCTCGGGGCATAGAGGACAGTCCTGGAAGAGAGCTGTGGCTGACTGTTCCTCCCTCCTCACCTCCCCAGATGTGGGTACAGGAAGAGGAGCAGGAAGGAAATGCATTTCGCCTTTGGGGAGAATCAAGAGCCCAAAGGTACCCCTAGAACTAATGAGGCCACCAAGGCCCCTGTCAAAGGCAACAGGCTAAGGAATTCATGAGGCTGTGGGGCTGAAATGAGGGTTGCGCAGGGTGGAAGAGGCCTCAGCCACCTTCCCACCCCATGCCAGGGCTCCTGCCTTAGCCCACCCCTACACTTCCACCTGGACCCACAGCAGGCCCCAGGGGAGCCACCACCTTCCCCTTGGTCTCCTGTCCCTCTGTTAAGCATCCCCCATCCTCCAAGTGCTCTCTCAGGATCAGGAAGCAGTTTCCTGGTATCACTCCTGATCCCTGGAAGTGAGAACCAAGGACTCTGGGCCCCACCATGCTCAGGAAATGGAAGCTCTTTGGTCAGTCCCAGCAGTCAGAGGCCCCACAGGTGACCATGTCTATAGGTCCCCTGGATAGCTGTGCCTCAGGCAAGGGCCTTACTATGGCTTGAGAGAGATGGTGCAGTCCCTGTACAATAGCCTGACTTATTCTGTCACCATGGCCACCTCCTCTTCCTCACCCTCCTCCTCTGTCTCTGTCTTGATCTGAGCAACCCCAAGGCGGTAGAGGTTGTCACGAATGACCACCTCGCCAGGCTGGCAGGTCTGCACGATGTCGTGGATTTGCCGGTTAACAATCTCACGGCTGGTGAGGAAGTCCATGAGTCGGTTATAGAGGTAATAGTGGGTGGCATTGTCAAAGGCAATGGGCCGCTGGCGGACACTGTTTGGTTTGCTGTCCACGAGGGAGCCCAGGATGGCTGCGTAGGGTGCCAATTCAGGGCACAGGGCCAAGGAGTGGTGCCCAGTGCTGGGATCACCAGGGTTGGGCTGTCCTGCATGAACAATGCGCCGTGTGGCAGTCTTGGTGACAGGGTGCTGGACAGAGTGCTCAGCTTCTGTCATGTCCACGGTATAATGCTGGTCCAAGAGCTCCGGGCAGGACACGCTCTAGAAGAGAGATGGGAAGCCACTTTGACAAGAGGGAATGACTAAGGTAGAACCTGTGTGGTGGATGAGAACGAACTCTGTGGGTTCAGCCAACCCTGTTTAAATCCTAGTGTCATCATGCACTGTATCTCCCAGGCCAGGCCACCTGCCCCCCTTCCTCTGTGCCTCCCTTTCATGTGAGAACAGGGCCAGTAACTGTGGCCACTTCTCAGCGCAGGCATTGGCTTACTTGAGCTGCTATTACTGCACCTAGCCAATTCAGGCTGGGGCCTGTAGGAGGAGCAGAAGGATCTGGCTCTGACTGAGGTTAAGACATCTTTCTGGAGTCCCTAGCCCAAGTTCACAGAGCCAGTGAGCCCCAGGGAGTGATAACAATAATGTCCCCTCCAAGGCAACGCCAGAGGTCTTCACCTCTGACAGTGCATCCTAGCCAGGGCACTCACCTCCCTTCTTCCTAATTATCGGTCTAACATCTCTTCCAGCAAAGGCCAAAGGCTACATGCCTCTGGTAAGAAATAGTGCCTGGCACAATGTACCAAGACACAGACATAGGCTCTGCCACTAATCTGCTGGGTGACTCTGGACAAGTCCACTTCCCCCTCTGGGCTTTAGTTACCCCATTTAATAAAAAGAAAGGATTGCATAAGTCAGTATTTTCTAAACCACTGTGCCTCAAGATCATAACTGGCATGCCATGCGGTATATTCATGGCCAAATCTAAGACAGGGTGAATTAAACTGTGTACTCCAGAGCTGGATAGGGCCTTTAACATGTCAGCTTGCAGAGTGACTCTCAAAGGTAACAATTTTCTAGGCTTATCTGGAAGGCAACCTTTTTTTGTTGTTTTTTTTTTAAACACAGATACCTATGTCTGGGATACCCTAGGCACATTATATAACATGCTGTGGTCTCAAACACATTCATATGTAGGTTGGTCAGCAAAAATGTATGGAGTAAATGCTGGTTCCAAAGCATCAAGACAAAACATTGGTGTGAGCAAAAAGGAATGCTAGACCCAGGAGGCCTCCCAAAGAACCAGAGGAGTGAGATATGGTCACAGGCTGAGGAATTTATTCTAGTTCCTCAAGAGGCAACTCACCACAGGCGGCTCCATGGGGCTAGAGAAACAGCCCTGGTTCCTCCCCCACATCTGGTTGGTCAGCTCTGGGTAGCAGAGGTCAGCACACAGGGCCACTGGTGTGGCCATGTCTACTACATAGACTGGTGGCCAATGGCGGGAGGAAGCAAGCAGATCCACATGGTCTCGGGCACTCTCACCCCGCACAAGATACTTGGAGCCACAGACCACCTGGGAGATGAAAGGGCAGTGCAGGGATGAGCAGCCAATCCACAGACTATGTACATAATCCTCGCTCACTCTCCCAGGAAGATAAGCGATCAGGTTCATGACTGAAGCCTTGGCCATCCTGCCAGAGCCCCTGACATTCTGTTCCCCTCCTACTTCTTGTCCCTCATTGAAGTTGCTATCTCATCCTTGCTCTTCTGACAGAAAAGCTAAAATATTCTGTCTTCAACTTAGGCTGAAAGGCACCTCAGACCATCTCCTCTAGACCCCACTCCCTCCACATCGCCCTACCAACCATCATCTACTGGTTCCCAAGACTAGCTACACAGCACCAGCAGTTAAGAGATAGCTGAAAATGGAGATTCTTGGGCCCCAACCCAACTATAAGTAATTAGATCTCTGGAGTGAGGTCTAAGCATCTGTATTTTGTGCAAGCTTCCCACCAGAGCCTGGTGTGCTTGCTTCCCAGATGGAAACCCCTGATGTGGTCTGGTAACCAACCCCACTGACAGGGTCCCCAAGCACCCTTCCACTGATGGACAGCTCTGGGTACACTGGAGAACTCTGCCTTCACATCCATTTTGCTGTCACCTCCAAGTGATGCCACTCCCAGCACAGCCCCAAAACCTATAGCTCTCACACCCCTGTGTTGTCAATGGCTCCTTATCATGATGCCCAGGTACATGAATATAGTTCTCAAGCGGGCTTTGATCTGCCCAAGGTAGAGGCATCAAGGACCTCCCTCAGACACAGCTTTTGTTATAGCTGATAACCTGATTCTCTTCACCCTGCTGACCCACACACCTCAGCAAACTGAAGGCTCTGCTAAGCCTAAGCCATTCAGTACTTAAGTAGGCTTTCTATCCCAGTATCCTCCTGGGCCCATTCTATCATCGAGTACACAGTCTGTCCCAGAGTTAACCCAGTGCCACAGCCCTTCCACAGAAATGTGGAGTGATTTTCCTAAAACCCAAATCAGACCATGTCACCACCCCCATTCAAAACTATCCAAAAGATCCCTCATCACGCTCAGAATAAAATCCAAACTGTTACTTTGGTCTAGAAAATTTTATATGATCTGGCCTCTGGGGAGCCTTCCAACCTCCCTCCTCCTAGCTCACTATGCTTCCCCACTCAGGGCCTCATGGTCACTCCTTCCCTAGCTCACAACTGGGGCTGTTCCTATCCTTCAGGTTGCAGACTTCTCTGGCTACCTTCTAGACAGCAGCTTCCTCCCTCTTACTATCTCAGGCCCTTCTCTGGTTCCTTCAGAACTACTGTCACAAGCTGTGGTGAATTTATTTCCCCACTAAAGTATGAGGTTAACTAGGGAGGAATGACACCTTTGTACCCTTCACAGCTGATGCAGGGCCCAGCATGTGGTAGGGTACTTAACAAACACCGATGGAAGACTCAGGCTCTCTCCCTAGCTCAAGGAGTGGCACCTGACCTATGGGCAGCCACTCCCATAGGCTGTCCAGTGACCTAAGTCTAACATTCAAGGAATGAGCTGGATTAATCAGGTTCTCTGTGTGGGCAGTCCAACATTACCAAATTTACCCCAAGTTCCCCCTCTCCGTTATCCTTTTACCTGGTGGGGGCACACCTTGTAGATTTTACCGCCTGTGAAATGAGGTGGGGGCTGTCTAGCTCTGGCTCCATTCTGTACAGATTCATAGAGGGCCAATAAGGAGAAGCAGAGCTGGTCCTGGGATGGAAGGACAAGATTAAAAACAGAGGGTGAATGCTAAGGGACCAGACCTGGTACTCAGCATCAACTGCTCACTTCAATACCCAAAGCAAAAGAATACACTGCCAGGGCCAGAGTGGGCCTTGAAGTCTCACCAGTCCAACCTCCTCTAGGTATAGGTGGGCAACTAGATGCCCCAGAAGCATAAGGTCACAGACACAGCCAGCCAGACTGGTCAAGCTGCCAGACTCTGGAGCCTAAGTCCTTTTACTGTTTATACAGTAGAGAGATCTTCAAAGAGGAAGATTCGAATTTCAACTTGAAGGAAGCATGATATTTTCAACAGCACAGAAATATGAGGGAAAGTAAATAATGTATGGATAAAACACATATACACATACACACTCTGAATGTAACAGCAGCCACTTTCTAGGAATC